CCCCCCCTTAAGGTCACGATGTATTCGACCGACCCTTAGTTTTGCTGCGACTGTTGGAACTGGGCGAAAGTTCTTTGAAAGAGCCACCGAAGCCACGCGGCGTCGCGTGCGTGTCGTGTGCCTGCCCTGCCGCACTCCTGCCGAAGGTTAATTCAGTTTGACTTTGGAATGCGCTGCCGTGGTCCGCAGTCCGTCCCCCCGTGTGTGCGGTCCTCGCGGTCCCCCCGCTCCCCGGCCAGGTCACGCCCAAGACCTTGGGGTCACGCAGGGGCAGGAGCGAGGGGCGGGGCATCTGTTCCGGGCCGGGGCCCTGGAGCTGGTCGATACTCTCGCGGGCTGGCCCCCATAAAGAGAGCGCACCCCGCACTGTCCCTGCGTCACATGTGGCGCGTCCCTCAAGTCACACCCAGTGAGAAATGACGGTCGAAACGGCACCGAAACTGTGAAAAATGGTCGGATCGACGTCAAAAACGATATCGTTTCGATGTTTTTATCTTACAGGGACACTGGGCAGCTCATCGTCATGGAAATAGACCTAGTCGCAGGGACAAAATTATGACATGGGATTCCCTGTGAGAGATGGCTTTGAGGACTAACGGCAAATGATCGACATTGCGACGTAGGCGTAGTCTCTTTGACATGGTCTCAAGTTCATGTGTTGTTTCGGCAGTTATTTCGTACTGGGCTTTCCCCGCGCGACGCCCCCCCCCTCTTTTCCCCCAATTCTCCTCCTGATCTCCGTTCCTGGGACGCGGTGTGATGAGGCTGTTGTGTGTTGGCAGGTCAGTTCGGCCGGCTCCCCGACGGCCCCGCTGGCCCCGGCCTCGGCCACGGCCACGGCCCCGGACCCTACGCGCACACCGCCCAGCCTCTCAACCCCAACATGCCCTACTCGCCTGACGGTACGGTCGGCACCTCCCCGGGCGCCCTTCGTCGCCATGCTCTGCGCGGCCCACGACAACGCCAGGCTGACGGCGCACTCGCCTCTCTGTTCCAGACGCCTACCCGGGACACTCGGGCGAGAGCTTCTGCAGCTCCGACATCTCCCTGGACGACAGCGCCAACTTCGAGCCCCTGGACGAGGCCGGTTCGGACACGCTGTCGCTGCACAACCTGGAGATGGCACCCTCGCACCCGCCCCCGCACGGCCACGGCCACCCGGGACACGGCCACCCCGGGCACGGTCACACGGCCGGCGGCGTGCAGGTCAACCCCATCGACAAGCTGTACCTCATGCAGAACTCGTACTTCAACACGGAACAATGAGACGAGGACAGCCAGGCGATGTCTTGGCCGAGCGGTGGCGAAGTGGGGTATCGCCGGCGGCCTCGAGGTCGTCATCGGGGAAGTCCCTGCTGACCACGTGCCTGCTTGGGAGGCCGCCTGGAGAACCGAAGGACTCAGCTGGTCGCCGCCTCCGTGGTCCTTCCCTCCGCCCTTCTCGCACGCACGACTGTGTTCTGTGACGCAAACTTTCAACCTCCAGTTTCTTGTGGAGCGGGGGCGTCCCGATTCGACCTCTAGAGAAGGGTTTCTGAGAGAGTACCATCCTTCTCGAGCTGACATAAGCTTGACATTTCTGTGAGTTTTTGTTGTTTCTAATCGCCACTCCTTTCAGAAAGGAAAAGAAATTAAGTTACCAAATGGCCAAAGACATTGCAGTAGTCACCGAGCCTTTTAACTTTTCAGGGAAAAGTGGGCGTGATGCTGCAAATTATTTTATTTTTTATGGAAAAGTAAACATGAGTATTGCACACCTGTCA